GATAGACCAACCAGAGGAGTTATGGAGATGTGTAGTTCATCGCACCTATGGACGTTCATAGGGGTTCTAGTCCTAAAGGACTTAGAGTCCATAGTCTCTGGTCAATACAACCAGAGGCTCTGGTCGTCCATAGGGGCTTTGGTCTCCTTCCAGACTTAGTCGTTTTAGCACAGCAACATCTTCAGATATTCCATCCTTAGCCCCGATTGCTTAATAAAACTCTTTAGAATAATTAGGATCAATTGATTCCAACAATCTCCCCCTAAAGTTTTATGAAGCAAGCACATACTTTGAAGCACAAAATAGCCACTCAACCCCAAAAGTAGCAAATTCATCCAACTAAGGGATAGATAAATGTGTGAATTTCTTGACAAAACAGTGCAACCAATCTTATGACAAAGAACCTTTCATTGAACCGCAAGTTGAGTAGGAATTCAGCTTTAGAGCTTGATCCAATTGGAGATAACTTGAATAACCAAAGCAAACACCATTGGAATTGAGAACTGGAGAAAACAATTAACAATAAGCTTTATGGCTTCAAGAAACAGCAGGTCAATACAAAGAAAATTGACAGTATTGCTGTTAATGCTTCTAAGGGCAAAACATGAAGAAACATTGCCATATTCATATAGGATTGGTGATTACAGACAAGTAAATCTTTAGGCTCTTACAAATCCAAATCCACAAAAAGAGACGATGAATGAATACTCAAGATATGGGCGATAATTATATGGTAAATAAAACGTCAATTGCCTTAGGCTGTGAGTACCATGAACTCCTGCTTAACACCAACGCGTAGATCTGAAAAATCAAGGTTCAAAAATTCGATTGACTCCAAGAAACTCCATCAAATAAACCAAAAAAAATATGATCAAAATAGGTTTGTATTCATCCAAGAACAAATCCCTCAAAAGGAATTTGATTAAAACATTTAATCATATGATGAATTGATGAATTTTTGGGTCCAAATTGCAGTCGAAAAGGAAGCAGTTCATGAAAGAGTATTGTTCAAGAAAATTGAATCTACTGTAGAAAGATCGAATCGATAGAAGTTAATCGATTTGGCTCTGATACCAATTGTTAATCCCAGATCTGACAGTAGAGTGATGTAAAGGAATTTGAAAAGAGATTTATAGAAGAAGATGAATAGAAATCAGTCGCCGCTTTCTTTATTGAATGGAAAATACAATCTCTCAAAAACCCTAATCGACTCTCATGTGATGTGTTTGAATCT